CAATAAATTCAAAGTATTAAGAAGTGTTGCTTGCACACATGAAACGGGCCTTAAGGGTTTTCACAAAATAATATCCACTGCGGAAGTGGTATAAAAATAAGAAATTATTAATTCCGCCATGAATAGGCCTAAAGGGCACTCAATAGAATTATGTTACACCAACAGATGCAGGCCTTAAGGGTTTTCAACAAAATAATATCAAGCACTGAGAAAATGGTATGAAAAAAATAGGAAATAAATAATTCTACCATGAATAGGCCTTAAGGGCACTCAACAAAATTATATCAAGCACTGAGAAAATGGTATAAAAAAAAAGAACTTATTAACTCCACCCTGAATAGGCCATCAGGGCACTCCACAAAATTGTATTACCCCAACAGATACACACCTCCTAACCTAACTTAAACACTACTCTGGGGAACAAAGGTTATACCTGAGATTGAAATTATAAAGAAATATTAAATGCATTAAAGGAAATAAATCACAGTATCACTTACAACAGAGGAGGAACCTCATCTGAAAAACAGTTCCCTCATTGTCTGGCATCAATTAGTGACACAACATTAGAACACAATACTATCAAAATTATTTAAGAGATATTAACTACACATAGCATACATCAGTAACTGAAAAAATAGTACACAAAAAATATTTTCACTATTATTAAGAAGTTACCGAGTCCACCAATACCCGTGAACCATGCTTCCTAACCTAACACATAGATTCCACCTGCACTCCGTAGTTTTTTAAGGCACAACCAATAGGCACCCGTAGTTTAAGGCCCAAACCAGCCTTTCTCCACCTTGGAAAATGTACCTCTAAGTTCCACTACTCCTGGGCCCAGTGTGTGGCCCTGTATTCACTCAGCTTGCTTCACTTTACCCCCAGTACATCCATGAAGCGGAAGGGAGTGAGCCAATCAGACCTTGTACAGTTGAGAGAAGCTTTAGCTTCCCGTTAGTAAAAGGTTTTCACTAATCTGCTTGAAGATATGTGGTATTGTGAGCCGAGGTAGAGGAGAGCTGATGACCCCAACCAATCGTCAGTTGTGCACCCAGACAGCTGGTTTCACTTCGAAGATCTCTTGCTAACCCAGCTGACCAGTGACAAGCCTGCACTGATCGTTCCAACTGCGACAATCGCTAATCATTAATCATCAACGGCAGTCACAAACGGCAGTCAATCTCTCGCAGTCAAGTGGGTTCTGACGGAAACCCTGAAATGAACTCACTGTTAGCTCTTGTTAACTTTATCACTGCCCTATCTAAACCCTGTCTGAGATCGAATGAGACTTACTTGTTATACTGCAATAGCGCAACACAGGTGACTAGACCACGTGACCGTTTGTGGACGGACGTGCAGGGACGTCCTGTCTGTCCGATCGCTTTCGCGTGACTGAAAGCCATCCAACCTGTGTCTTCTCAAGGCGTTAGCTTAGGCCTACGTGACATATTTTCCGCCTACTAATAACTTTCTTGGGACACCCATGACATTATTCAGACATTGATAAACGATCTATAATAATTTCAATTTCAATAGTAGCCCCTTAACTTCATGAATCGCATCATTAATAATTCGGTAAACTACATTTAATATCGTATAGGCCTAGTTCCAGAAAAATTCACTACGTGAGGGAGCGTTGTCTTCCCTCAGACTACCTTGAACTCAGTATCGCCAATGGCGCGGCTTTGAAATTACACTGGATTTGGTAAAACGTTACTCTAACCACCTACGTGATACGGGTGGTCCCCATTAGAGGTTCACGGCGCCATAAGCTCGTTGAACAGGCTTTGTGTGAAATATAACAAAGTCTAGGACTGCTTTTATTATCCTGGTGGTCCAGCGGTTAGAGTTCCCCGGTCACAGTCATAGGCTTGTGGGCCGTGGGTTCGAATCCTGGTGGGTTGAGGTGTTGATTGTATGTAGAAGTCCGCCTGCTTTATTGGGCTAATGAAATAAATATATATATATATATATATATATGATATTCAGAAATTTCAGTGTAATTTATATATATATATATATATATATATATATATATATATATATATATATATATATATATATATATATATATATATGTGTGTGTAATATTCAGAAATTTCAGTGTAATTTCAAACGCCGCGCCATTGGCAATACTGAGTTTCAAGGTTGTCTGAGAGGGGACAGCGCTTATCAACAGTAGTGTGAGAGTAGCGAACTGCACCCATATAATATTAAGTATACTCTGGCGACTAAATCTGGTGGCGAATTATGAAATGAAATATCAGTTATTAAATTAAAAATAATTATAGATCGTTTCTCAGTCTGAATATGTTAAGTGTGTCCCAACGAAGCTATTAGTTATGCGGGAAAATATGTCACGTAGGCCTAAGCTTGGGAAAGCACGAGCCTGGCTGTTTCTCAGTGAGACGACAGCGTTCGAACAGAGAGGACGGTTGTGCGTCAGACAGGACAAAACGGTCACGTGGTCTAGTCACCTGTGTTACGACATTGCAGGATAACTAGTAAGTCTCATTCGATCTCATACAGGGTTTAGGTATGGCAGTGATAAAATTAGCAATAACTAACAGTGAGTTCATTGCAGGGTTTTCGTCAGAACCCACATGACTGTGAGTGATGACTGCGAGTGATGACTGCCGTTTGAGACTGCCGTTGATGAATGATGATTAGCAATTGTCGCAGTTGGAACGATCAGTGCAGGCTTGTCACTGGTTAGCTGGGTTTGCAAGGGATCTCTGAAGTGACACCAGCTGTCTGGGGCACAACTGACGATCGTCTGAGGTCGCCAGATCTCTACTACCTCGGCTCATAATATCACATATCTTCAAGCAGTTAGTGAAAACCTTTTACTACGAGAAGCTAAAGCTTCTCTCAACTGTACAAGGTCTGATTGGCTCACTCCCTTCTGTTCATGGATGTACTGAGTGTAAAATGAGGCCAGCTGAGTGAATGAAAGATCACACACTGAGACCAGGAGTCTAGTGGGTACTTAGAGGTACATTTTCCAAGGTGGAGAAATGCATGTTTGCGCCTTAACTACGGGTGCCTGTTGGTTGTGCCTTGAAAAACTACAGGTGCTTGTGGAATCTATGTGTTAGGTTAAGAAGCATGGTTTACGGGTATTGGTGGAATCAGTAACTTCTGAAAATAGTGATAATATTTTTTGAGTGACTGATATTGTCTTGCTGTGTGTAGTTAATGCTATGTTATGTAAGTGACAAAATTGGTGGATTCTGAAGAGACAAGTAACATTCTAGAATCTAAATGAACATTGACATGCTATACAGTAAGCAGCTCATGCCGGAGCTCGACATAGGTAGGTGACCAGCGGCTCCCATAGCAGATACGATATTGGTAAATATTTCGCAGTGACCATTCACGAATCCTTATATTGATTCTTATAATAGGAAATGAAACAAATATAATAAGAATGCTTTATCTAATGAAACCCAAGAACTTACAAATATCAGTATACATGTCTAACCTAACCGAACTTACCCAGAAAAACCAGAAGGACCTGGCCTAACACACCCTTCCAGTGTGTAAACCTAACCTAACTCAACAAGACAAATAAAAAACCCACAAAGGAACCAAAATAAACCAAACCTGAAATCGATAAGTAACAAAACTCGAAAATATAAATTTCCGACTGAAACGTGAGTAAGCGTATGCCCTCGAGAATCAACTATCATCAATACTTCTGCTGATTGACTGAAGTAAACATTGTATATACCCGCGAACCTGTACTCTCTTAGGTAAAATAGATTTTGTTTAAATAACTCGAAAATTTATATATATTTTTGTTTGTTCTATTTCTCTATATAAGAATTAATACAAAGTTTCGTGAATGGTCACTATGAAATATTAACCAAGATATTCTTTTCTTGATACATTTCCTATATTTGCTGTAGATATGAGCGAATTCTTATATCCATCTCACCGAATTCACTTCCGAAACTGAATTACTATGACGACTACATTGAACTCCTTGATTTGGTACCGGTGGTGGGAAATATTTTACTACTCTGCGTAGTACCTGTAATTGAGATCGTAATTTGTAATAATTAGGAATTGTTCAGGTGCGTATTAGTGTATGACTGTGAACCGTCAAATGGCAATAGACAAGACTGGTGTCAAGTGTCCTTACAAAAAAACGTTGTCATATAAAATATCACCTAATAGCGAGCTTTGAGCCTGCTACATCTACTGTATGTGTGGTAGGCCATATGAACTATATTGTTTTATTATAAGATTTACTGTAACATTGGTACCATAAAAATACATCGCGTTTGTCAGTTCAAGACTGGCCAAGGTCCCAATGTTTAATTGCCTTGAGGACTAGAGCAAACATGTATAATCAAATAAAGACAAGTTTGCACCATGAAAACCAACTGAGTGACACTAGATAGCATCTAAGGCCTTCCCTCCAGGAGGCCCCTACTTCAGCGCTAAAAGATCGTATGACATCATCAGTCACCTGAAAGTGATGGACGCTTTATTTTAGGAAGTTTATATTCATATATTATAATTTCATAACATGACTGCGTGAGAAAGTTAACTAGTATCAGATATAAACCCAGTGGGTGTTAATTAATCAAGATAATGTGCCTCTGGAGTTGTCTTGTAAGTACTGGTGTTGCATACTTTATAGGACATCTTGGATGCATTCCGCTGTAGCTCAGATGGGGCCTTATCCGAAGAGGCAAGACGAAGGACCTTGATCTATTTAAAAATACTTACAAAATTACCAGAGAAATGAAGAACCTGACAATCACTGTCGATCGACGTTTCAGAACTTAATAATTTTCCTGGAAAGTAGCTGCAAGCAAACGAGTGAACCTTTACTACCATATCGTATTTGCTAGGATGACTTTTCGTCTCGTCTCCTAATATCTAAACACGTTTCATATTTGGGTTGAAACTCTGTTAAGGTTCTCCCTCGAGGCCCTCCTAGGTCAAGATATAAGAGATGTAAAGGATGATGAAACACTTGTGGGTCGTCTTCTATCATGGTTTATTACAGCAAAATTATGACAATGGCACTGTTGACATAAATGACGCATACTGGGCACAAGTGCCAGCGGAAATGAACATTGCGAACTGGAAGGGAAAAATCAATGATATTTTGTAATCAATCTGGTGTCCACTGTCAGAAGAGACGGACACTCGTAGGGGTGAAAATGTGTCACACGGGTAGTAGTGGCAGTTATTTATATTGATACGTTACTTTGTGTGGTTGTTTGATAAGATATGTATAAAGTTAACTGATTGTTCATTGCAAAGTGTTTGATGAATACAGAGTAATTTTATGCCTAACAGGTGAGAAAATATCATCGATGGTGATATGGTTAGTGTTAACTGCGATATATTTATGAATAGCCACCATCTTTGGGAATGTGTGTGTGTGTGTTTGTGTGTGTGTGAGAAAGGAAATATTTGAAAAATTGCTATTAATTATTCTGTCGACATCATTGGGTTATTAAACTGTTACTGACAGCTGCTAACACTTAACAACTACTCACCTACAGTTCTAAAAGACATATGACAATTTCTTGAACAAAGGAAAAAGTCAAAGAACAAAGTATACAATGTATTGGCACGACTTATATCTTCTTGGTATTAAGGTTGGCACATATTGTCTTGTCTACTGTACAACACAGGTCTAGTACTTAAAGTGTTAATATCTATAATCCGTAATATGTCAACGGGTTATTCCTAGACACGCTATGGTCTGTTTAATTACTGCCTAATGACTGGCAGAGTCGAGAATATTATATGTACTGCCTGTCGTCCAAATAGACTCCCCAGGATCCACAAGTTAAGGTTTATAAATGTTCAGTGAATCACGGCATTATATCATTTTTGGTTTTCGGAAGATCAGATATGCCACGTTTCAAGATGAACTATTATTATTTATTAACGCTTAAGCTTAGTATCCATCACGCAGGGCACCGTGGCAGCACTTCTGAAATCTAACTAATTCAATATTGATTTCAGATTGACAGGAAAATGTATCTCACAATTATGATGTCCTCCTCGGAAGTAATCAGCTTCTCAGTTACAGATTTTTATATATTTTTTTAGAAGCTATATTTATGTCTTTGATTAGTGAAGCACTGCCTTGGGCATCTTTTTTCTCAGACTCTTTATTTCATTCATACATAAAAGAGGCAATGCCTTTCAGTACGTTGTGCAGGACCTATGGCGGCAGAGAGTGTATGTCAGAATGTGTTAATATTTTGTGTTGTTGTGGATTAGTCGTCTTCTGACTACTAACTGCATGTGTAGAAGCATGACAGTATATCTACAGGATAGCTCTGTTGCAGTCGTTTGTATTAGATTGTGGCACATAGTAATTTCACAAGGCTAGATATATATATTTACAAATAATTTACATTGGGAAACAATGATATATAGTTTATTCAGAACATAAATTACAATTATGTAAATTACAACTATGATATACACATTTATGCAGCATATGTACACAACAAGGTCATCACACACAAAGCCATACAGCACACAAGCAGTTACTGAACAACACGTTATGAGGGAGCTACATAAAACAATGGGCGTACAACAAATGCGAAATATTATGGAGGCGTTTGACATGTAGCCATATCGTGAGGCAAAGGGTAGACATGTTAGAGACGACAGCTACCAGTATATCCTGGTGAGAATGAGAATTACAAATGTTGTGATAGAGAAGTGGTTACAAGAAGACTGGGAATGAGCGAGAGTAGAACATGTAAATATGGCGTAGGAATGGAGAGAAAAAGACGATTGTAGATCATGAAAGAGATGGAAGATCTACTCAGAAATGATAGTAGATAGATAATATGATGTAATGAGGAGGACAAACGTGTATGTTTCTTGGAGTCTTGGGGAAGGAAAGTTTTTGCAAGGAAAGTATGATGGAATATAAGATGAAAGAGGAGGGTGTTGATGTGGACCGACCAAGTGTGGTGGTGGGAAGAGTTACGTTGTCAATAATGAACACGAGCCACTTGGATGGAGCAGAGGGAATAAATGCATCATCATGGACTATGGCACGCAATTTTAATGTTATGATCTGGTAGTTGTATCACACTGACTGTTAACTGGCCATGTAACACTCCACTCACACAATGACAGCCATTCATACTGCTAAAACACACGCATGCACAGTCACACATCTCGCGCCTTCCATAATGTACAGAGTATCACCTTCCTCCACGTCGTCACTGAGATTATAACATTTCTTGGCCATGGGAGCCATCGGCAGCCCTGGCTATCACAAGCCCTGGCCCAGGTCAACCTTATCCTGGGTTCCTGTATCCTTCAACGGAATCGCTCTCTCCTATTCTTATGTGTTGTCGGCGTCTATCAAACGCTTTATAATCGTCCTTGGTTTTAAATTCACCTATAAATAATTATCTTTTTCCTTGGTCTTGGCACCTGTTTTTGAAGCACTCAAGAAGCCATCACTTTCAGCTTTGATAGTCTGGTTGTCAGGTCTTGAAACCGCCCACTAAAGCTGTCACAATAATCAGAGATTTTCTTTCTTTTTTTATTAATTTTTCATTTTCTGAAAGAGTTCAAATTTCTCGTTAACACGAAGATGTAAGGTCTTCCTCAAGGGTAGATGGAAAAGTCTGTGGACACCAATTTTACTTTTGCATTTTTCTCACAGACATCCGACAGCGCACACTACTCTGACGGTCATTTGCATAAACAATATACATAATCAATTAGGTGGGAGTATCCTTGTCGTTTATTGTTCAGTTCTGGGCATGTCCATCACCATCATAGTTACCGTGCTTTTTGTGTTTGTTCGTGACTTAATAATGGCAGTAAGCTTATCCCGGCACAGCACTAATAGTCTGGGCACCAACCCTAGCGTTGGCGCCACAAGCTTCACCAGGTGCTTCAGCAGTACTCCCTCCACTACACATGGCGCTTTGGCCACAGCAACTGCTTCACTAGGAGTAGACGAGGTGTGAAGGCAGGAGCCAGGAGGCAATGGTGTACAGGAGTCGTGGGTACCAGTGGATGTGGATGGCCTCCATGTCCTCCACAATGTTGCTATGAACCTCTTCTCGCCACCTCACGCTGTTTCTGCTGTCGTTGAACAAGTGTTTATCATTATACGTTTTAAAAGGTTTTCTGGGGAATGGCGGCGTGAGGGCACCTAGTGCACGCAGCAGAGACAGAGCTGCCTCCTTCAGATTACTATATAGCCTGACAGGGAGGAAGGCCCAGTGAGCAATAGCCTGGGAGTCTATGACGGCGTAGCAGGAAGCTATAAACCCGTCGACGACGACCGTTCCCTCAGCTGTGAGAGGTGCGAAGACTCCTTCTCCCATCACATGTCGAATCCCTACCACTTCTTCCAGACTCACTCCTTCTTGGCCAGTGACAAGCAGAAAGTCCCCCGCCTCTACCCGCCCCGCCAATACCACCCCGCCGTGGTCCAGGGCATCCATAACGGTAGGTGTTGTAGTTGGAGATAGGTGACGCTGTAGCAGCAGGATGAGGTGTGAGGGGGTGAGTGTGAGGGTAGCGCCACTGGCCGTGGTGAGCCTTAAAAAGGAGCGGGACACTCGAGGGTCACGGTGGAGGAACATGAGAACTGGACTAAAGCTCAGTGAACCGTCAGGTCGCATCACCTGCACCTCATCGCCCTCCTGGATGACTGACACCGGCATCACTCCTGATGGTGTCCTCACCTTCCCATGCCCAGGGAAGCAACCGCCCAACTTACTGGCCGCTGACGATTCTGGAAAGAATGGGATTGTTAGAAGGTGCTGACATGGATTCAGAAAATGTAGTCAATATCTGTGAAGACATATGATGGTAGGAGAATGAAAAAAGATTTATCTATATCTATAAAACAAAGAAGTATGTCTGTGTGTTTGTGTGTGTGTGTCCGCACGAGAATCTCGGAAACTACTTTACCGATCTCTGGTGATGATGGATGGTGTTATATGTAGTGATGATGATGGATGGTGTTATATGTACTGTAGTGATGATGGATGATGTTATATGTAGTGATGATGGATGTTGTTATATGTAGTGATGATGGGTGGTGTTATATGTAATGATGATGGATGGTATTATATGTAGTGATGATGGATGATATTATATGTAGTGATGATGGATGATGTTATATGTAGTGATGATTAGACAATAAAATAATAACAGTTTAATGATAAAAAAATATACTTTGCTATACCGTTGTAGTGGAACTTACATACACCGTTAATGAACTATTGATGGAAGAAGAAGTTTTGGGGACTGAACAGTGAGACAATGTGGAGCCTCCCGGAGGGTGGCGTCCTACCGTGGCCTAGCGAATGAGCCGCCGGAGGGCGGCGTTTATTCGCTAGTAAAATATAAAAATATAAATTATTTTATAAGGAGTAAAAAGCCAACAGCTTTGTGCTATGAACACTATGCACTGTCAACTAAAGTCTCACGCTTGTACTGCTAAGATTTGCACTTTAATCAGCAAGACTCAACCCTCATAATCGTCTGGAAGTAATGCTAACCATATCGTCTGTTATTTCAACTTTCAGCCTCTACGGAAAATACACGTTTGCAAATTTAAATGAAAAATTTCGCTGCTCCAACGCGAATATGTTTAGACTAACTCTCACTTACTACATCTCTCGATTCAGTCGGTGTAAGCGGCGTGTGAGATACCACTAAGTGTATTTACATAATCTTACTAAAGAGTGCGGCGGCCAAGTGGATACAGCACTTTCTTCCCGTTCTTAAGATCTTTGGTTCGATCCCGGGGAAATCCCCAGTCCACCAACTGTGTGTGAGTGGAGAAGAGGGGTGGAAAGTACGGTCATGATTGCAGTGTTTGGAAGAGGTAAAATTTACCATCCGGTAGCGACTGTGACGTTTGTATTGTATGCTTGCCTCACTGACTCACCGCAAAACCCGCTATTAATGGCTGCGGTGACCCTAATATTTGAGGTGTGTCGTAAATAAGGTAAACTGGGTAAATTAGACGTGGTGTCCGTAGTTAAGAATCCTCGTGTAATGTCTGCATTGCTGCGTATTTACTGTGCATGTCACTTGCCACGTGTAAGCAACAGTGATCCTAATTGGGCAAAGTTTTCCAATTATTTATGTGATTAAGCATGACATAAGATTATACAATTTTCTGAAAAACACAAACGATAATATAAATAAATACAAAGTCAATTGCTAAGATAAACACACAAATGTATATGAGAAGAATAATTATTGAGGGAAACATAACTGGCATTGCCCCTATCGGCACCAGTCTTAGATACACTTGTTTGTGCATTAGTTCCTAGCTGCCGGAGTCTACATATAAAGTATTTTTACCTTGAAAACAAATAACATTTTTTCTTTGTTAATATTGAAATAAAATCGAAACTAATAAACTAATATTTATGTGACACGTTTGAACGATCACGATTTACTGAATATTTCCAATACACTGATAATAATCTACCATACTTCCTTTGTTTAATGTCCGTAATTCACTTATTTTCTAAATCCATCTCGGTGATTTCAACGACAGGAAAAGTAGTGAGCTTTCGTAATATTGCGGGAGCGTGCACCGTCATGCTGTGCAGAAACTTTCAAATCTTTATCGATTTTCATGCAGATCCTGTGAGTTGTTCTGCGGAGAGGCGATCACAGGATGATAATCAACAGATATTGAAGAAAAACATTAAATACATACTAAACAGAAGTTATGAATTATACTAACGTGTTTTATTCATTCTGTAAACTGTGCAGGTTGTAAATAAAGTTAGACATGTATTTAAAAAAACTATAATATCTGCTTCACTCGCATCATTTAAAGCCGATAAAAAAAGGGATCTCAGAAATGAAATAACATTACTTAGGGTTTCCTACTATGAACAGTGGAGTACATTTCCCCAAGATTTTCTTCACTGTACATCCTCGTTCCCGAACGTCCATCGGTTCGTGGTGGGTCGACTGGAGATTTTCTTAGTCAACCTGACTCATCCATTAGATGATTCAGAGGAATTTCCAGATGTAGACAACCAAAAAAATTAAGATTTCTTATTAATAAAGAAAGAGGAAATTGATATCTACAGCCTGAGAATGTCAGAACTCCATTCATGTGTCTCAGAATTATTAGTCTTCTTACGAGGTTATTCTTTAATAGTGATAGACAGTGTACATGTAGACAAGTTTAAGGCCATCGCTAAATTCCACGGAGCGGTCAAGTTTGCCCTACAAAATGGAGGATGACCACACGGTTGTGTCTCTTGCCATTGTTCTTTCCTAGATCTGTGTTCCCCGCCATGAACAACCCCACCACATATTACTCCGTCATGAACAACCCTAGCACATGTTACCCCGCCGTTAACAACCCCACTCTGATCCACCCCACCCTGCTCCACCACCACCCTCACCCCCTTCCACCCCACCCTGCTCCACCCCACCCTGCTCTACCCCACCCTGCTCCACCCCCACTCTGCCCCATCCCCACCCCTCTCCACCCCATCCTGTTCCACCTCCACCCCTCCACCCCCACCCCTCTCCACCCCTCTCTCCTCCAACCTGCTCCACCACCAGCCCCACCCTGCTCCATCCCACCCTGCTTCACCCCACCTTGCTCCACCCCACTGCTCCACCCAATCCTGCTTCACTCCGCCCTGCTCAACCCCACGCTGCTCCACCCAACCCTGCTCCACTCCGCCCTGCTCCACCCCACTCTGCCCACCCCACCCTGCTCCACCCCACCCTGTTCCACCCACCCTGCTCAGCCCCACCCTGTTCCCCCCCACCTGCTCCATCCGACCCCTGATCCACCCCATCCTGCTCCCCCTAGCCCCTCTCACCCCCACCCCTCTCCACTCCACCCTGCTCCACCCCACCCCTCTCAACCCCCACCCTGCTCCACCGAACTCCCCACCCCCACCCCTGCTCCACCCCCCCCTCCCCCTCCACCCCCTGCTCCACCCCACCCCTCTCCACCCCTCCCTCCATCCCCTCTGCTCAGCCCCACCCTGTTCCACCCCACCCTGCTCCACCCGACCCTGATCCACCCCCATCCTGCTCCACCCCAGCCCCTCTCCACCCCCCACCCCTCTTCACCCCACCCCTACTCCACCCACCCCTGTTCCACCCCCCCACCTCTCCACCCACACCCCTCTCCACCCCACCCCTCTCCCCCCACCCCTCCACCCCACCTCCCTCCATCCCCCTCTGCTCCCTCTGCTCCATCCCACCCTGCTCCACCCCACCCTGTTCACCCCACCCTGCTCCACCCATCCTTGCTGCTCCACCCACCCTGTTCCATCCCACCCTGCACCACCGCCACCTGCTACACCCTACCTGCTCCACCCCACCCTGTTCCACCCCCACCCCTCTCCACCCACCCCTCTCCACCCACCCCTCCCCCACCCACCTCCCTCCATCCCCCCTTCCCTCCCTCTGCTCCCACCCCACTCTGCTCCACCCACCCTGCTCCACCCCACCCTGTTCCACCCACCCTGCTCCACCCATCCCTGCTGCTCCACCCACTCTGCTCCATCCCACCCTGCACCACCGCCACCTGCTACACCCTACCCTGCTCCACCCACCCAGCTCACCCCACCCTGCTCCACCCTATCCTGCTACACCCCACCTGCTCCACCCACCCTGCTCCACCCACCCTACTGAACCCCTACTCCGCTCCACCCACGCAACGAACAACCCATACCATGCGCCACCTCACCCCGCTCTAATCCACCACGCTCCACCCTCACCCTGCTTTACTCATACTCTGTTCCACCACCCCGCCCTACTCCACCCCCAACCTACCCAAATCCAGACTCACCCTACTCTACCCCCACTCCTCTCCACCCCACACTTCTCCACCACCACCCTACTTCACCCTCACCCTGCTTCACTCATTACCATCACCCTGCTCCACCACCACCCCTACCCTGCTTCACCACCACCCCGCTTCACCCTTACCCTGCTCCACTCCCATTGCGCACCACCTGCACCACGCACCACCCACACCATGCTCCACTCGTACCACGCATGATCCACACCATGCAACCCACCATACAGCCCCCACCATACAGCACCCTACTATACAACACCCCACATACAACATCACGCCATACAACATGCTTCTACTGTATGCATAATCACGCATTACTCTGCCAGGTATTAAACGAAATTTCAGACGCTGGTCCTTAATCTACTGAGGTTTACTTTTCTAACACATCTGAGTATTCCGATGACTCCCACCATCTTTAGCTACTATACGTAAACAGCTGTTGAATAATCTAGCTTTATTTCCTCCTGCTACAGGTTTTCATTTACCTGCACAGTTTTGAACCTTGGAAAGCTTTCAAATTAAATTTCACAGCTTCCACATGCTCTACAGTCAACTCCGCAGACCCCCAACACAATAAATCTACCTCTACAACCTCCAAGCACCATCAATCTCCTCACACTGCTCGTTCACCTAAACAGCTGCTACAGTTTCTCGCCCCTCCCCTTGAAACGCACTAAGAGCGACCCCCGCGCTTGGTGATGGATTACCAGCCAAACAGTACCCTTCGTGTTACTACAGAAGATAATCACGGGAAATTATATTCCCGTAAATGTTCAAGGACGCGAATGGTGGGTCAGGAGGGTGTGGCAGCACGGTAAATGTCTTGTGCGTTTAGTTCTTTAAATATATATATTCTTCTTGGCCTTTGTCTGTTGGAGAGGAGCGTCGATAAAGCCACCTCATCAAAGACTCTTGCATTGCAGGCC